CCGCTTTCTGCAGCTACTCCGTACACTTGCGGGTAGTGAAAATATTTTGCGAACAGCGAACATGGAGGACGTCGAGTACGTGCAGATCGGGAGCCAGGAGAGACCATCGACTTCGGCATTATTGGTTGGCCAGGTCGGGACCAACGAGGTCGACAAAATACCGACCTGGATGAACCCAATCATCGCGTACCTAACGTCGGGAACACAGCCTCAAGACCCCCGAGAGGCGCGATCGCTGCGAGTACGAGCTGCCAGATACACCCTAGACCGAGGAGTACTCTATAAACGGGGATACTCGGTTCCACTTCTGAGGTGCCTGACCGAGCAGGAATCGTTATTCGTGCTCCAATAAATTCACGACTGCGTACGCGGAAGTCATTCTGGGGGCCAGGCCTTCGCCTACAAAATCCTCCGGAGAGGATACTACTGGCCGACGCTCAGGAGGGATGCCGCCGGCTGGGTGAGGAGGTGCAACAAATGTCAGATGTTCGCGCCGAACATGAACCTAGTGCCGAGCCCCTCAAGTCGATCGTGAGTCCCTGGCCGTTCGCCAAGTAGGGAATCGACCTGATCGAGCCGTTACCCACGGGGAAGGGGGGAGTAAAGTTCGCGGTTGTCGCGTAGACTACTTCACCAAGTGGGCGGAAGCAGAGCCGTTAGAAACGATCACTCGATCGTTACCGACAATGGGAGACAGTTTGAAGGAAAAAGACTGGAAGATTTCTGCGCATCTCACGTCATAAAGCATTACTTCACAACCCCGTATCACCCCCAGACGAATGGTCAAGTCGAAGCGGTGAACAAGTTAATCAAGAATGGTCTCAAAACACGACTAGAAGCAGCGAAAGGTGCTTGCCAGAAGAATTGCCCGGTGTCCTGTGGGCGTACCGTACGACCCCGAGGTCGTCGACGGGAGAGACCCCGTTCTCATTATCGTATGGATCAGAAGCCATGGTTCCCGTGGAACTCGGATCGCCGACCTACCGAGTAGAGAATTTCGCGGAGGACCAAAACGACGACAACTTACGCATGAACCTCGACTTGGTCGAAGAGCTTCGAATGCAGGCCGAACTAAAAAATGTGGCTTACAAACAAAGAAGCGAGCGCTATGTCAACTCTAAACTCAAACCTAGAACTTACCGAGTCGAGGACCTGGTCCTGAAGAGAGTGACAGGGCCCAAACCAGGTCCCTTGAAACCGAAGTGGGAAGGACCCTTCAAAATAAGCCAAGTGCTACCTGATGGGGCCTATAGGTTGGAAGATCTGGATGGCACGCCCCAGCGATACCCGTGGAATACGGTGTACCTCAAAAAATATTACTAGTGACGTTGAACGGGCCTCCGCGCCACTAGTCGGTCTCCGTGCCGACGTTCTGCAAAAACCAGCCTCCGTGCCACTAGTCGGTCTCCGTGCCGACGTTCTGCAAAAACCGGCCTCCGCGCCACTAGTCGGTCTCCGTGCTGACGTTCTGC